ATTGCCCACACAGTCGTCGGGAGCGGTTGTTGCCCAAGCCAAGGTCCGCCATTTTGTGCCCTAAACCCTAAACCCTGAACCCTAAACCCTAAACCCTGAACCCTCAACCCTAGACCCTAAACCCTGAAAAGCAAAGAACAAAAAATAGGAGCCACCATCCGAAGCCAAAAGGTCCGCCATTTGTGCCGGACGACGAAGCAAGCACTGAAGAAGGCAATTCCTCCACCGAGGAAGGCGCGGCTTTTTTGGGGCACGGCTCCTAATGTATGTAGGGGCCGTATTAATTTCCTTATTATTATTATTATTATTTTTTTNNGGGGGGGTCCTTGTTATATTTATAGTATAATATACCCCAAAACCCTATTCTAATTATTAAGGCCCCTACATTATCTGTAAAACTCGTCCTTGTGAAGTTCTGCCGAGGGTAAATTGTAAAGCCACGAGCCTCCACACAGTATCAGCATGCGTTAAGTTTGCAGACTTTGAGCATACAGCACACACATACAGATGCCGGTGTGTTTTGGCTGCTGCTTGGGAGTGAGGTTTCCATGTTTTGCTTCGGGCTCGGACTTTTTTGGAGGCAGACCAAAGGACACTTGGTGCATGATCTTGCCTGTAAGTTTTGGCAGTGGCATAGACTTTAGGATGAACCCTAAACCCTAAACCCTAAACCCTAAACCATAAAACGCTATGTAAAGTTCAGCATTTCGCTGCTGAGTTGTTGCGACAATGCTGGGGACTTCACGGCCCGAGGCCGAAGTCCTGTAAAGGCGTGAGCAGAAACCCCCAAAACAGTATGGGTACTTATTTAGGTCCCCCTAAACCCTAAACCCTAAACCCTAAACCCTAAATTAGGTTCCTATAGTACGCTTTTGAAGTACTCAGCGAAAGGCCCCCTGAGCTTCTTTAGACCAACATTCGCCATCCTTCACCTTGACGAGATAATGTACCAAGAGTCCTTTGCCCCAAAACTCCATGGCCTGAATACAGAGCCTGAAGCTGCCAAAATTTACAGAGCCTAAACCCCTAAACCCTAAACCCTAAACCCCTAAACCCCTAAACCCCTAAAACCCTAAACCCCTAAACCCTAAACCCCTCAAACCCCTAAAACCCTAAACCCTAAACCCTAATGAGCGTTGCCAGGTCAGGTCATCGCTGGCGAGGCCGAGAGAGAGAGAGAGAGAGAGCCTAGCAGAATTTTCAGATTCTCAACTCGGGTGCAGAGTTTTCGGGTTTAGGGGATCGGGCTTTGGGGTTTGCGGGTCTTTGGTTTAGGGTTTAGGGTTTAGGGTTCAGGGTTTCGGGTTGTTGTTGTCCGTGCTTGGGTCACGCTTATAGCTCGAGCCACAAAACCCTCAAGAAGCGGACCTGGGTCGTTCAAGCCCTGTGTGGAAGTAACATCGAGACCAAAGTTACTCTTAGTGGCTGAGTAGGTAACCTTTAATCTTTCGGGGCTCTTATAATTTACTTCATGTGTCTGGATGACATCGGACGATTATGGTGCCATATGTATGTAGTATTGCGTGACACAGTAGATCCAGTAGATGATACATCTACACGTATGCCCCTTAAGGATAGATTCCTGTTGCTAAGCCATTACTCCAGCCTGAGCAATGTAGCCTTCAAAACCACCTTCTTACAGCCAGAGCCCACCCGAAACCCGAATGAATCCTTTAAGCCCTCAACTGTTAAACCCCTACTATAACCACGAAAGCCCGAAACCCTAAACCGCCCACACCCCTAAACCTGAACCGTAAGCCCTAAATCCCCGAAGGACGCCGACTCCTCGGCTGTGTCTTTCGAGGACAGGCCTAGAAGAACCGAACCAACCAGGCTATGTTCCCGAAGGGTCCAAGGTATGGTTATGGGGGATACTTCCCCAAATCATAATCGCGATTCCTTTTGTTGAAACCCTGCATTCTACACATACATTATATATATATATATATGTTTATGTATGTATATACTTATTTTTTTCTGTTTATTTATATAAGGACTTTGGACCCTGTGGGTTTAGGGTTCAGAAGTTAGGAAAGAAGGTTTCGGGAGACCTCGCGCGGGGGTGCCTTGAGCACCTCAAGACCTTGACGTGCCGTTGTGTCTTGACGCCGTGTGATTCTGGAGGATGGTAAAAGAGTCTCTGAATATAGCTCATATATCTATCTATCTATCTACCTATCTATCTATCTATCTATCTATCTATCTATCTATCTATGTATGTATGTATGTATGTATGTATGTATGTATGTATGTGTGTATATATACACGTACTTAGTTATTTAGATGTGAAATTATGTACGTACTTAGTTAAACCTGTTCATCCAGTCATGTATTCATCGATATTTGTGCACATGGTGACGGGGTTGACACCGCAGTCGCAGGAGATTGGGCTTCTCGAATGCACCCAAAAAGGTCAATGTAGCCTTGGCCTTGAAGTCATATAGTGTAGTAGTAGTAGTAGTAGTAGTAGTAGTAGTAGTAGTTACAAACACCTTCTGGCAAAAGTTTACACTAGGCAAGTTCATGGAGCTTCCCACAAGGACACGCTTCTGATTTTCGATTGGGACGACACGGTTCTGCCATCCTCCTGGGTGGCAGGCTCAGGCGTATGCGTTCATTTGTGGGCGTTCTCCTCATATCACAGCACAGGTCAAGAGTGCCGCAGCCCCTAGACCATTTTTATTCTCCCTCCGTTGGTGTCACACCCCATGAGCCTCCCAGCACTGTCTCGTTTTTGCAGAATGCTATAGGTTTGGGTAGGACTGCAGTCAGGCTCGTTCAGTTCATTTCCTTCAGACTTTACGTGTCAACCGTTGCTGTAAGCTCCCTTGCCCTTGCTCCTGCTCCCCTACGGCGTCATAAACACCGACACCGCAAGTGCGACCTGATGCTGACAAGGACCGACAGAAGTGTCGTAACCGTGCCGATGATGATGAGGCGCAGATGACGATGAGCAGCGGAGGAGTGGGAGGAGGATGCTCATGATTTATCACGGCGATATTGGCGGTGGTGGACGAATAGCTTCTCTACGGAATTCCTTCAAAACGGCAGGGCGTCTTAGGGGCTAAATCCTAAACCCTCAACCCCTAAAGCCCCTAAGCCCTAAACCCTAAAACCCCCAAACCAAATCCCAAAACCCCCAAAACCCCGAAGTTAGGGTTTAGGGTTTAGGGTTCCCTAAACCCTAAACCCAAAGCTCCAAAACCCCGAAGAGTCGGGCCTCCAAACCCCCAGGTGCAGAGCCAGGGCCTTCGCCTTGACGAGAGTCTGGGGCCCATGGAGCGGTTCTGTTTAGGGTTTAGGGTTTAGGCTTAAGGTTTAGGGTTTAGGGTTTAGGGCTTAATTAAGGTTTAGGGTTTAGGGCTTAGGGCTTAGGGTTTAGGGTTTAGTTACCCTGAATACTTTAGGTTTCTGAAAGGGTTCTCGAAGGGTTTTCGGTTTAGGGTTTTGGGATGCTGCCCTACATAAATTCAACCTCCTGAACCCTGAACGCAATTTGGGATGCGAGAGTTCAGGGCCGTTTGGGGCTTTTAGGGGGCAGAAGTTTCGGATCTTCCGGCTTTGTGTTTAGGGTATGTGTGGGCTTGTTACCGGGTTTTCGGTGGTTTAGGGCGTAGGGTTTAGGGTTTAGGGGTTGAGGGCAAAGTGCTGTTGAGGTTTTGGGTTTGGGTTTTAGGGTGTTGGGGGTGGCTGGGAGTTTGAAGGCATCCCGGTATATCCTCGGTTTGAGTACAAGCACTCAACATGATGCTTATGTATCCCACACAAAACCCTTAACCCTGTGAACCGCTTCTAAAACCTCTTGATACCCTAAACACCTATGCAGCTCGCTTCAAACCGGGTGAACGAACAGATGAACATAGTAATACTTCCAGTGGAAACCCTAAACCCTAAACCCTAAACAGTGGAAGCCCAAAAGTAGGAAGGACCCGTAGCTACGGTGCCCCGAAGAATGCTGCCGTGATTTCGGATATGTTGCGTCTTTGAAGGGGTGTTGGAGTTGCTGGTTTAGGGTTTAGGGTTTTGGGTTTAGGGCCCGGAAGCACTGCCATGCACGGTCGAAGGACCAGCGTGACATAGGTGTTTGGACGATCGGCGGAACCTGTTTAGGAGTCCTTGCAATAAGGAGTCAGTCTTTATTAACTTTATTAGACTTTAAAGTCCTTAACACCCTAAACCCGAACCCTGTCCTTGTTAGTCTTTACTGCAAAAGGAAAGTTCTTCTATCTAGGTTCTACACTAAAATTAGTATCCCCTAGTGTCTGAAACCGAAACCCGCTCCATTTGAAGGATTCAAGAGTTTGGGGTTTAGGGTCACTATATAAATCCCCCAGGTTGATGATTTGTGCTTTAGGTCTAGGTTGTAGGGTTTATCCTCGAAGCCGAGACTTGAAGCTATACCCCAAGCAAGGAGCCCTCAACCTCCAAGAACCCTCAGCCCCACCAAGCGACGGTTAGCCTCAGATTCCTATAACATACAAAGCAGCCTAAACCCCAAACTCGAAGAAATTCTAGTCTGACAATGTTCTAAACAACCCTAAACCCTAAACCCTAAACCCTAAACATTTAGTTTGAACCGAAACCCTCAAACTGCAACCTCCTACAGCTTCAACCACGGAAGAGCCCCTGAACTACTTCAACGCCGACAGAGCCCCACACCCCAACCCCCAAACAAAAGTTCGCCCTGACCCCCAAACCCAAAAGCCAAATTTCAAAGAGAACCGTCCTTTGTTTCAGGCTCGGAGGTCTTACCCCACCACAGAAAGCAGCTGTTTGAGGCCTCCAAGAGGGCTTCTGCTTCGCAAAGCATACTCTTATTCCGTTTCTTGTTAGCATGCGCGCGCGGGTGGGTGTGGGTGTGTATGTTCGTAGGCAGGTAGGCTAGGCAAGTAGGCTGGTATGAATGTCTCTGCTTCGGCTTCGGGGTTTCTGGTTTTGGATGGCATTCGTTTGGTTTTGGCCCATTTGTGGGCTTCGGTTTGGGGGGTTTGGGGCATGAGGTCGGGGGGTTTAGGGCTTTGTGCTGCGGTTTAGGCCTCATGGTTTAAGATTTAGGGGTTAGGGTCTAGGGTTTAGGGTTCCTGGTTTAGGCTTTGGGGTTTAGGGTTAACCGTGTAGGATTTAGGGTTTAGGGTTCATGGATTTAGGATTTAGGGTTGAGGCTTCAGGGTTAAAGTGTGCCACTTGTTCCATCGTCGAACATCATCTCTTGTTGCTCAGTTATAGCGACAGCATGGTCACTGGAGCAATTTTGTTGTGATGGTGATGGTCATGAAGATGACAAGGTGGACTAGTTGCTACTGTCTTCGTTGGTTCAAAGCTGAGAGTTCCGTTTGGGGTTTAGGGCTTTCGGGGTTGCTTCTGCGTGCGCACGGTGCTGATACCAGTGAATGTGGTGGTTATCATCGGCTCGTTCGAGGGGTGTCCTGTGTAGGGCTCCGGGATTTCAACTCTACTGCCTGGCTTGTGGTAGGAGTGTTAGTACTGGTCCGAGGCAATACGTACTGCACAAGCTGGGAAGTAGGTTAATAGGGTTCTGAGTCGTATCTTAGTATTGGTTGTGGTGGTAGTAGCAGTGGTAGTGATAGTGGCAGCACTAGGGCGAGCACGATGAGAAGAAGGATGCGTAGTTGTTGTCGTCTGCATCGCCGCACGATGGTGCTGGGTGAAAGCGAAAGTGGACATCGCGACGGTCACAACGCAGAGGAGGATTCTATTGATGATTGATGGTGATACGGAGGACGAGGAGGAGGAGGCGGAGGAGGAGGAGGAGGAGGAGCATGAGCAGGAGCCGGAATGCTAGCAGCCACCATCGTCGCCCTCATCACTTGATGGCCATGGTGATCATGATGGCGATGCTCAGGAGACGTAGGAAGGTGTAGATGTCGGACACCAGTGTCGCTCGCGCCCAAGGCAAAAGCCCAAGAAGTGTACCAGGGCGGGAGAGAAGGGCCCCTCTAGTACAGATTTTCACGGAGATCCATTGGGTGAAGATTTTGCGAGCACTTGTTCTAGACTTAGGCGAACTTCCCCAATGAGTCTTTCACATCGACGTCACAAAAAGCATTGACTCCGTGTTGTCGATAGCAATAGATCGCCTCTCGGTGAGGTAGCCACAGCTGCAGCGGAGACGCTGCGATTGGCAAAGCAGCTGGGAACTGTCTACCCGGCACAGTGCTTCAGTGGCCAAGTGTAAAGACCTACCCTGCTAACATTCGTTTTATATCTCAGGTGACGGACGTAGCAGATCGTCGTGGAGGTGGTAGTTCTTGATAATGGCTGTCCATACTGCAAAGGTTACGGTTACTGTTGTGCTGAGTAACGAGTAGGGTTGAGGCTATTCATACAGCAGTAGGAGTAGTGGTCGTTGTCAGTGTCGTATAGTAGTAGCAGTAGTAGTAATCGTCGTCCTCGCAGTAGTAGTAGTAGTAGTAGTAGTAGTAGCAGCAGCAGCAGTAGTAGTAGTAGTAGTAGCAGCAGTAGTAGCAGCTGTAGCAGTAGTAGCAGTAGTAGCAGCTGTAGCAGTAGTAGTAGTGGTAGTCGTAGGAGTAGTAGTAGTAGTAGTAGTAGTAGTAGTAGTAATAGTAGCAGAAGTAGAAGTAGNNGTCGTAGTCGTAGTAGTAGTAGTAGGAGGAGGAGGAGGAGTAGGAGTAGTAGGAGTAGTAGGAGTAGTAGGAGTAGTAGGAGTGGTAGGAGTGGTAGGAGTAGTAGTAGTAGTAGTAGTAGTAGTAGTAGTAGATGAAGATGATGAAGATGATGAAGATGATGAAGATGATGTTGCTGCTGGTTGTTGCTACTCCGTGTCTAGGAAGCAACGTCATTGAAGTACTAGATGTCTGCTTTCCTCATGCCTGCATGAGCTCACAATGGAGAATGCAAAGACTCACTCTTGAATCTTTCTTGTGGTTCGGCCTCTGTTTTCGCGCGTAGGCAAGGCCCAGCTACTGTTCATAAGTGTTCGATGCAGGCGTTTCTACAATTGTTTCAGCTCCACGCTGGGTGCAGTGGAGCGTTCGGTTGGATTTATGGCACTTGACAACTTCGGATCTTAACGAGTTGCATGTATAGCTTCGGGATGATCATGGTCATTGGACTGCTCACGCGCATGATGCAGCACACTTTTCAGAATGAGAAGAGTGCCATTTCCCGTGCCGAGATCGCGTGTATTTGTGATACCCGCTGGTACGATTTTCTAGAATGCAATTACCATGTACGCAGCCAACATATAAAATGTGCGAGCATGTTTCGTCGAGTCGTCGTCCGCCTCCTCATCCGAGTGATCGCTGTCGTGGTCGTGGTCGCAGTAGTATCAGCGGTGGACAAAGTGTAGCTGTGGGGTGGGCCAAGTGTAGCTGTGGCAGTAGCAGTGGTACTGGGCGTGGTCGTCATCGCCTTGGTCGTGGGAGTAGAAGTTGCTGGTGGCATCTATGGAAGTCTGCCAGGTCGTAATCATCACCAATGCTGAGCGAGGACCGCCGATAGGGGAAGTCAGACGCAAAGCCATGTTCATCATCATAGTCGCTACATCATCGATTTCTGGCTTTCCTGGATGTTTAGGGTTTAGGGTTTAGGGTTTAGGGTTTAGTGTCTGGGTTTCCGGATTCCGGATTGAGTGTTTAGGGCGACTGAAGCTTGCCTTTGACACCTTGAGGATCCAGCCAAAGTCTGGGGTTTCGGTTTTCCGAGGAGGGTTTAGGGTTTAGGGTTTAGAGTTTAGAGTTTATGAGGACAGCAATTCGGTTCGGGGCACGAAGGCTTGGTTTGATTGCCGCAGACTTTCAAACAGTTCACATCGTTTCCTAGCAAGTATACCATAGGTAAAATAAGGAACCCTACATTAACTTTATTAAAAGACCCCTCGCCGTCTCGGGATCCACGCCTCGGTCGACAGAAAGAGATCCCGCGCGGACCTTCCCCGCTGCAGAGTTTAGGGTTTAGGGTTTATTCAATAGTGTCGGATCCGAAGCCCAATACCTGGGTTCTTGTTAAGGGATTTAGTTTTCAGTTTAAGTTACTAGCATAAAGAAACCATATTATGTACTATCGATCCCAATTCTGGTAACTTAAGTTAACTTCCTTGACAAGAACCCAGATATGGGTTAAGGTATACTAGAACCCTACATCCTATATCCTCAACCCTAAACCCTACACCCTGTCTCCGGAACCTGAAACCATGAAGAACCCGTCCTCCGCCTGGAGGATGGATTGAGCTCAGTTGCCAGAAGTTCCTCCCAACGCTCTACCCTGCCCTTGAGAGCGTCAAGGCCGGTTTAGGGGTTGGAGGCTTAAGGGTTTAGGGGCTAGGGGTTGAAATGTTAGGGTCTCCGAAAGGGTTGTTGCTTGTAACGGCAAATCTTCATACCACAGTCCGCTCTCTAGGGTTTAGGGTTTGGAGGGTTTCGGTCACATCATTTCGATTTGCAGGGTTTGATGGAAAGGCCTCATGTAATGAAGCCCTATCGAGTTCTTGTTGAATCCATACCAAACCCTAGAAAGCCCTTGTAATGGAGTTTAGCATTTCGGGCAGAGGGTGTGTAGGGGCTTGGGATTTGCGTTGTTCGGGTTAGAAAACCCTAAGCCCTGAACCCTAAACCCTAGGTTTAGGGTTCAGGTTTTGGGCCCGAGCCATGTTGTGGGAGCCAAGGCTGCTGCAAAGCAGGTGGAACATCTCAAGCCCCCTTAGAAGAGGTTTAGGGTTTAGGGTTTAGGGTATTTGTTCAGGTGTAGAAGTGGCTTGTGGGTTTCATAAGGGGGTTCACCGAGTTTGAGAATGGGTTCATGTGATTTTATAAGACGTGAAGAAGGGCTATTGTAGGGGCCAAATAATCAATACTATGTTGGGGGGCTCCTTATTCAAAGTATAGTAGAATGGGCGCCCAAACCCTGTTCTAATTGTTAAGGCCCCTACACTAAACTAAACCCTTACAGGAGCTCTTATACTAACCCTTATAGAACCCTTGAAAGACCCCATTAAAGGAACCTATATTATCCGTGCACCTACTGCACCGGGCCCCTTGGATTTGTATCCTCCGGGTCCTCTTTTCTTGCAAGTCCACGAACTTCGAAGAGCTGGGATACTGCTGCTCCGAAAACGGCAAAAACCCGAAAATTAGAGTAGCCCTGACAGAGCCCGTATCGGAACCCGGCAAGGAGCAATAAACCCGAAACCCTTCCCAGCTTCCCGGAAGCCTTTAAAGATCGAAGATTGCAGGTGCTGTCTGCGAGAACCACGTACGAGAGCAGCACTTTGGCGTCTGCGGCCCAGCAACCCTAAACCCTAAAACCACACATCCTCGGTTCGGTTTAAACCCTCACCACTTCTGCGACTTATAGGCTTACATATAGGACACAGGCTCGGAACTAAGGCCTCCGGTGCCATCTCGAGGAGAGTATGGCATCCTGACATGAGGCAACGCCGGTGCTTGACCAGAAAATGCGGAATCTGAAAAAGGCCCCAATCACCAAAAGACAAGCCCTCAAGCCTCGATTGCAGCTCGTAACAACCACGAGAGGCTTTGAAGCGGTGATGGTGTTGTAGATGATGGCGCAGATGATGAAGAAGATGATGGGGTGAGCACGATGATCTTAACACGGTGATGCCTCTACCTGCCATTAAGCAAATACCCTTGCTCAATTTTGTGTACGCTTATTGATGCTTGTTTCTCGTGGACAGTACTCTTGCCTGTCATTGTTCGTGGTCTCTTTGCTTACAGGGCCTTTAATAACAACCCCCATAAACCCATAGACCCTACCTAAACACCTAAAGCCTTAAACCCAAAACCCATAAACCCATAACTAAACCACCCAGGGGTAGGGACAAAGATCGCCCGACACCTACAACAGGCTATTGTTCTGCATGCTTTTGGGGGTCCAGATAATCCCTACTTAAAGGATCATGGGACTTAGTAAACTAAGGTTATTATTAGGGTATCTATACTTTTCGCTACTTTTTCCCCCAATTAAGGTACTTATAACCATAACTTATAACCATAATACTTACTAAGCCCCATGATCCTCCAAGTAATGCAGGGTTTATATCATCAACCTTACCCCTAAACCCTAAACCCTATAACCCTAAACCCTAAACCCCTAAACCCGAAACCCTGAACCCGCCGAGGTCGCCCTTGGAGTGGAAGGTGCGAGCCTTCGCGGCCGAGATCGAACGCGTCTACGGTCGGGCGGGCCTTACCCAGCCCAGCAGGACTGGGACTTGGGGTAAGGGGTTAGTATAGGGGGGCCTTAAGAATTACCGGTACTATGTTGGGGGGATTCGTATTACAATTCTAGTATAGTATACCCCAACACCTCATTCTAATTTTTTCAGGCTCCAATATTACCTGGACCCGAACGAACCTGCCCATCTAGGGCTCCTTCTTATGACTTTTCCTTATAGTAGCCTCAGGCTCTTGGTCGGGTTCGGGGGTTAGGGGTTCAGGTGGGTTTTAGTGGTTTAAAGTTTAGGGTAGGGTTTAGAGTAGGATGAAACGAGGGCTTGGGTTTTGGTGGTTTAGGGTAGGATGAATCAAGGGGTTGAGGGATTAGGGTTCTAGTGTGGGTTTTGGGTTAAGGGTCAGCCTAAACCCTAAACCCTAATCCGTTTTGGGCCAAGACCGACAGGCCCATCTGAGCTTAGGAGTTATCCGGGCCTTCATCCTAAACCCTAAACCCTAAGCCCTAAACCCTAAACCCTAAACCCTATTGGCATACTTATTGCCTTAGTCCAATCCTCGTCAAGGGAGGACTTGGGGCTTGGGATTTAGGGTTTAGGGTTTAGGGCTTAGGGCCTTGATAGTTAGAATGGGCTGTGGGGAGATATTATACCATACCCAAAATAGTATAGGTATTTATTTAGGCCCCGAATATTCGGGTTTAGGAGGGCTGTATCAATCAGGTGTCACTCGCGGGTTTAGGGTTTAGCTTTGGGCTTAGAGCTTTGGGGTCTGTTTGTTTTAAGTTTCAGGGCTTAAAGGGGTTTGGTAGCGTCAGCCAAGACTGACGAGGCGTCCTACCTACAGTCTCTGTTGTAGTTCCTTTCTTGGTTTAACGAATTGTATATTTGGGTCCTGCAAACAAAAAGAAACTACAATGGAGACACTACGTAATCTAGAACACCTCCCAGAATGTCGGCAACTAGAGAACACTCTCCGACGGGAGCTTTTGCCGAACTAGATTGCTTTCCTTCTACCGGCTCCTGCTCGAAGCCGCAAGTTAGGCTTAGCCGAGTATAGAAAGCAAGTCTTGTTCCTAAGTGGGAGAAGCATTCAGGGTTCGTTTGAAGGGTTCCTTTGAGGGTTACTTATAGTATACGGATAAGATCTTTAGGGCGTTCAGTGCTTCGGGTTTCGAGCTTTGGGCTGGGGGTTTAGGATGTCCATGTAGCATCATACTTTACATTCTAGTATACTATAGCATGTTAAAGTATATTAGGGGTATAGTAAGTATCGTATGATACTTCAACTAGGGACCCCTAAGTGATTCCTGAGTACGATCAGACCCAAGGCACAAGACCCACGCTGCCTGCTTCAAACTCTCTTGTTGTACCATGCAAATGCTTCTGCATTCAGGCGCAAGAATGTTCTCTCTCTTGGCGACAGTGGCTTGGCACGAATGATGGCCACCCTCACTTCCGGCTTCTCCTCCCTGTCACACAATACAGCATATGACAACATAGCGTAATATCATGCAGTTTAAGATAATGCAATATAACATAATGTAATGTAATATAAAGTACTATATATACAATATAATGGAATATAATTTCAAGCATAGCCGTGCAACAGAACTTCCTTTGGCAGAAGCTGCTGACTGCTTCTCGAATGCCTTCACGAGAGCCTTATAGAAGGTCTATGTACCTTGTGGAAGCCTTATGGAAGCCCTATATACCCTAAACTCCAAACCTGCAGTTTCCTTTAATTCTGGAATGCCTTCACGAGACTGAAGGAAGGAGCTTTCCTTGCCAGCTGCACGGCCACAAATTTGAGGATCAAGGTGCATGCTTGCGAAACCCTGAAGCTCAGGGTTTATTAGTCTATGGTTGTGGATTTAGGCCGTAAAGCCAAGCCTAAACCTTTAGGGTTTTGGATTTAGGCCCTGAAGCCTAAACCCTAAACTAAGCCCTTATTGAGGAGAGAAGCCTCCCGCGGCTGCCCAGGTGTCCACGAACGTGAGGCCCTGCGCCGCGCAACTTTGCATCTTCCTGGCTGCTGGTGCCTGGCTCAGGAAGAGACTTCTGATGGGAAATAAGATAGAAGCTTAGGGTTTAGGGTTTAACATAGAAGCTTGAAGAGTAATTACCCATATTACTGCTAGGGTTTCCTTGCTGTGATTCGACCATAAAGGAGCCCAGAATCCTAGTCTAATTATGAAGGCCCCTACATTACGATTACTACTGGTTAGTGCTATTGCTGTTACTATCACTATTACTCTTCCTCTTCCTATTGCTGTTGCTGTTGTTACTGTTATTGCTATACTAACTACGACGAGTATTGCCATGGCTATTACGATTACTATTGCTCTCACTGTTTCTTGCGGGCTTCGAGTTTGAAGGTTTGCCTTTCCATGGGCGCGAAAGAGGAGCAGTAAAGGAGTACAGTGTTGCAGGAACCGTCTCGGAACGCTGTCCAGACTCGACACGACATAGTAGAAACATATACCACCCCACACAGTCCTTGCCGCGGTCTTTCTGCCTGGCCCGATAAACCTAAAACCCCAAACCCAAGCCCACCACACCTTTCATAGCGCAGGGATGCCCCACCCACCCCTCTGAAGCCTAGAGCCTTGAACCGACACACCGAAAGCCGTATCAAGCCCTTCAACTTCAACAGTCGAGCGCCCGAGAAGGCGACGGACGCCATGTCAAGCAGCGTAACACTCGAGCCCTAAATCGAAAACCCTGAAACCCTAAACCCCAAACCCTAAACCCCAAACCGTAAAAGTCCGTCTAACGTAGATCAAAAAAAAAACCTAAACCCTGAAACCCAAACCCCCACTAAACCCTAAACCCCTTAAAAGCCCGAAGCTCTCAACCCCTGAAGCCTTAAACCCAGCACGTGTAAGGTCCAAGTGCCTGAAGTTCGTCGAGCGACCGGACTGCTTCGGGTGCATAAATAATTACCTATACGCTTGTCGCGGCTCCTTATTAGTATAGTATTTTGAGGGTTCCTTCTTATAGTATTTGAGTGGTTCCTTATTATATAGATTTTGGGGGGGTTCCTTATTAATGTTATCGTGGAAATACCACCCAAAACCCAATTCTGATTATTAAGGCCGCTATATTATCCGGTGTAGTTTAGGGTTTAGGGTCCAGGGACCCCAGCAAGTACCATCCGCTAGACCCTAGGCAACCTTAAAGATCCCATCAACGGGTTTAGGGTTTAGGGTTTAGGGTTTAGGGGCAAAGCCCCAAGCCCGAAACCCACTCTACACTGCCCCCACCCCCCCCAGACCCCAAGACCCTAGAGACTTTAAGCCCGAATCTTCTAAAGGCACTCAAGTCCTAAACCCTGCAACCCTAAACCCTTAAACCCTCAACCACGAAAAACCCCTAAGCCCCGAAACCCGAAACACTAAACCCTACTCTAATGATAGAACCCTCTAAGGACCCCTTTACGGGAACGCTATTCCTGTCTTTCTAGATCCTGGATCTTCGCGAAAATTCCAAGCCAGGCCCCAGTAGCTCCCCAGTACTCTCCGAAGTCTGGCCACCGGTTCGTACCGGTAGGGTTTAGGGTTTAAGGTTTGGGGTGTAAGGTTTAGGGTTTAGGGTTTGGGGCGTAGGGTTTAGGGCTTAGGGTGTAGGGTTCAGGGTTTGTGCTTAGGGTTTAGGGTTTGTGGGGGAATCTGGTCTCTAGGGTTTTAGGGTCAGGTCCCGTTAGGTCTCTGGTTGCAGTTGTGCACAGAAGGGGCGACCTTCGTAGCTCTCAACGATACTGGGTCCTTGTTGCCTACAGTTTTATATTTTTGTTATGATAAAACCCAATAGGGGTTAAAAGTGATCATTTTGGCTACAGTGTTACATTTTTGTTATCATAGAACCCAATAGGGGTTAAAAGTGATCATTTTGGCTACAGTTTTACCATTTTTGTTATGATAGAACCCAATCGGGTTTAAAACTGATCATTTTGGCTACAGTTTTACATTTTTGTTATGATAGATAGAACCCAATAGGGGCTAAAAGTGATCATGTTGGCTACAGTTTTACAATTTTTGCTATGATAGAACCCAATAAGGGTTAAAACGATATTTTGTGACATACCTCCAACAAGGAAACCAGAATGGTGGAGGGGTTTCACAGGCCTATTTCAAGGACATGGTAGTAGACGTAGCACCAAGGTCTTCAAAACTGCTCCAACCCTAAACCGCCCTTTTTTGGGGTTTAGGGTTCAGGATTTCTCAAAACCGAAACCTCTCGATTCCCCAAAGGGTTTAGGGTTTAGGGTTTAGGGTTTAGGGTTTAAATTGTTCCAAGAAGTATTGGAAACAGCCGGAACGGATCCCGAAACCCCAACGTCTCAAACCCCAAATGGAGGCCGTCTGCCTTGAAACCCTTAAAACCGAACACACTATTTTAAAAAAATGACCTAGCCCCAACACCCCCTCAACATGGTGGAGACATTAGGAGGATTTGACCTAGACCCAACATCCCCTCAATGTAGTGGAGGACATCAGCAAGATCTGCCATCAGCATGCCCTGGTCTGCAACCACTTCGAGAGACTCGCCTCTCTGCTGCGTTGGGCGGCTTTGGGCTCGTTTCGAGATCCTGGTCTTTTAAGTGCCCAGAGACTCCAATACCCCTTAATTAAGGAATATACCTTGAATTGCAGTAGGATCCCTAATATGATTTAAGGTATATTCCTTAATGAAGGGGTACTGGAGTCTCTGGGTGTGGCTCAGTAAGGCCGCAGGGTTTGTTAGCAAGCCGACTAATGTCGATGAGGTTCGGGATAGAGAGGTAGGCAAGGATGACAAGGACGGAGCAGACGGGGACGGTGATGATGACGGTGATATGGCGCTCGTGCCGATGATGATGATGAGGATGATGTTGATGATGATGTGATGACAGTGATGATGGCCGTGATCGAGCCACAGATTAGGCCGCTGGTGACGGTTAGAATGATGCTGATGACGATGATGACGATGATGATGACGATGATGGCTATGGTGAGGGTGATGACGAAGATGACGGTGACCATCATGTCAGCTGCTGTAGGAGGAGTATCATCATGCCTTCGGGCTGGTTCGTGATGTATTTTGGCGGCGGTGATGATGGTGGTACTGGTGCAAGATGCTGGTACCGGCCAAGATGGCGGTCATCATTGATAGCACGGATAGTGGTAACGATGGTGATAGCATCACTGGAAAGATGATGTGGAAGTGTTTGCTGACGGTAAAGGTACTGCCAGTGATTATGATCTAGCGATGAAGGTTGTACATATTTTGGCATGCCACGGTGATTATGAATATGTAATATGGCTCATAGTCATGATCATGAAGACGGATGATGGATGATGATGCTGAATGCTATGACGACGGCAAAGGCGACTGTGCGTTTTCGCTCATTCGTACATGCCAGAATGCTACTTCATCGTGTTAGTCAGTGCCTGGAGTCTCAGGAGCAGTAGCTACATGCGATGATGATAATCAGCAGCACCAAAAAGTCGAAGCGATCTGGATTTACATGCCAACCCAAGTTGTAGATGCACTTGTTCATAACGATGTTGAAAAGAAGGGACACGAATAACGAGAGTTGGTTATGCTGGTGGTGTTGCTTGTTGCTGGTATTCGCATCATACTGGTCATACTACGGAGAATGATTCAGTATTTATTCGTTGGATGATTTATCTGATTGGCGGCTTGTTCTATAGAGTAACGAGGTACTTTACTAGTTAGCCAGGTACAATCACACACACCTAATTACCTTCATTGATATTCAAGGGCAACAGATTTATGTAGTTAGTAACACAGGCCAGTGAAGACTCCAGTATTTAGTTCATTGTTTAGCCCGATAACTGTTAGTTACACAACTGACCGATTGGTTGACTATTTCATCACGTAAGGAACTATCTAACGTAAGAACTAACTGACCAAGCTGCCAGGCAATGTTTCAATGAAGTCATGGAATTATCATCGAATGACTGAAATAGTTAATGGCTTTGTGCTTGGCTGGTTACAAAATGAGCTAAACACTCACATGAACAACTCATTAGATAACCGCTTAGTCATTTCCTTACTGGATGACTTAATTAACAAACAAACAAACAAACTAGCTAGCTAGCTAGCTAGCTATCTAGCTAGCTAGCTAGCTAACTAACTAACTAATTAACTAACTAACTAACTAACTAACTAACTAACTAACTAACTGACTAACTAACTAACTAACTAACCGTTAGAGAAACCATTGATGAATTCATCATGATTTTATTCTGAGTTCAATGGTGAATTAGTCAACTTGCCATTTGTTGCTGAATTTCAAAACTAGTGATTTCATCACTTCATCAACTAGTTCAGTACTTGATTTGCTATTAACTGACTCACTTAGCATTCATCAAGTAAACAATCAATAAACTGATTGATTGGTAAACTAATTAGTTGAAGAAGCGCTTAAGAAATTAAGCGAACAGCTACTTAGCTAGTTCGTTAGTTAGGACGAACAAGCGATACATGCAACAAGCTCCAAAACATCACTATTCTTATCATCATCGTCACTACCATCACTGCTACAATCACCTACGCCTCGACATCATCTAGTTTGTTGCTTTCGCACTCCTCCATACCACTACTGTTTATATGCTGGTCATCACAGTGTCAGAGAACCAGGCTATTCTTTGAGAATGCTTTAGCAATGAACAGGTGAGCCACACCACCAACTTCCAAGCAAGACTCTGTGTCGCTGTTGATGATTTTTTGTGTCCTCATAGCATCACAGACCCAGGTCCAGCATGCCGACAACCTGGACTACAGCATTCGATGCTGAGGCTCGTAGACGAACCACAGGACCCCTCCTGCATTCCCCAAGCAAGGAGGGGATATTCAAAATTCGATGCTTCTTGAAGCATTCGCACACGAGGTGCTTTCAAGGCCGACCGGCTTCCTCATGTCCTGGTGATCATGGCCGGAAAGGCAAAAAAAGAAGCACATTGAGACAGAAATGCCCAAGCTTCTACAGCATTGTAGAAGTTAGTGTGCGTTGGACTTAGAAATGTGTGGCAACATGAGGAAGCTGCTCGCATAGATTGGTTGCAAGCTGGCCACAATCCCCTGCCCCAGTACATGAACCTACCTCTATGGGTTTAGGGTAGTAGGGTTTAGGGTTTAGGGGTTTAGGGTTTAGGGTTCCCCTGGAAATCCTCAGCTTCGGGGGTAGTGGCCCAAAGAAGAAACAACTGTCGGCTGGCATGGCGAAGCCATGCCATCCTGGGGAATAAACAACTCAACACAACCTCGTGCGTAAGCTGCAGCATTCTGCAGACCTTGGTCCATCAGGCAGTGTCTAAACTTTGGGGTGGGAAGTCGAGCTTTTCAGGTTGATGCACCCCCTCATTTAATGAGGGCTGACGACACAGACTGAATTTTAGGGAGTAAAATTGATGGACGTACTCTCCGGAATGCAAGCTAGATGCCAACGGAGCCGACGGATGTGTTCGTATGGATCCTACTGCAGCAGCTTGTCTAGGCTTATAGCAACCTTATGGCAAAGACGCTTGGAGGTACAAAGATTAAGCTCAGATGTACAGGGCTTGCATGTGAGATGCCTGACATTGCGGCCGTGGATTTGGGATTTGGGGCCATTGCATGCTGTATAACACAGGTTAAGGAACCTTAGTGACAAAGATGTGTGCTCAGTGCTCCTTTATTGTCCCCATATACTTAAGTCCAAAACCACAACCCCAACTTGTTGCCATGTATAGCTAGGCCTCGTAAGGTACCCTCATGATTCTGTGAGAGGTTGTCAAACTTCCCCAAGAGCAACCCCCAAAAAAGCCTTAAACCCTAAACCCTAAACCCCTAACCCCAAAAACCCTAAACCCTGAACCCTAAACCCCTAACCCCCAAAAAACCCAAACAGTGGAGCCCTGCAAGGCCCGACTCGAGTTGTTTCGGCCTTCAGTACCAAGATCCTTGCGCCCTGTAGCCTACCCTAAACCCTAGAAGAATGAAAACACAAACTACAAAAATGCAACCTCCGCTTCCACGAAAAACATTTATCTGTCTGTCTATCTATCTATCTATCTATCCAGATCTAACTTTTTATCTATCTACCTTTTTACCGATCTATGTTTCTATCGATTTATCTATCTATCTATCTATCTACCTAGCTAATTGTCTGTCTATCTATCTTTATCTATCTATGTATGTGTCTACCTATCTACCGATCTGTCGATCTATACGAATAATATAATATAGTGTATATATATATATATATGAACAGAGATTACAACGTGCATGTATAAACGCAAGCCGGGGGTGAACAAAAATGGCTTCAACGCAGAATGCTTGTACGTCTTCTGCTCGAGGCTGTGGTTTCACCTCATTGTGTCCACCTCGGGAGAGAGGGAGACGGGGCGGGGGGGAGTTCTGTAAGGGGCCTTTAAAAAGTCCATAATTAAGTCAGTGTGCTATACTTAAGTAAGTACGGGTGATCCATAGGGTTCTATGAGGGGGCCAGGGGTTTCTATGATGGGCCTTACTTCATAATTGTTACTTAACATGTATTGCCATTTTAAAGTACAGTCAAACGAATACCCTAAACCCTAAACCCTAAATCCTAAGCCCTAAACCCTAAACCCCTAAACCCTAAATCCTAAGCCTTAAACCCCAAACGCTACATCCTTAACTAATTCGAGCGGGTTCTCATAAAGGATCCCTG